AAACTGTTTTAATAGTAGCAAAGAGCTTAAGTTGCTATGCGTCTAGCAACACCCTTTAGCTATGACTAGCACGACCTCTCGTATAATACATTTTGACAAGGTATTTAAAAATGTTCTCAATTTAACATTTTGAGCCCATTAGTGTTTTGTGTATCTCTGAAGGAATGCCTACCCTGGCGTATGTTGATATTGGTTAATCTTTTTCTAAAGATGCTGGAGGGTTGGACCCTCACAGTCAGGCACGTGCACAGGTAGGGCTCAATTGTAAGTAATGTTTATTTAACCAAGAACATGTGACTAAGACAGGAATTTACATTTGATTTAAAAAAAAAAAGGACTTTGCCTCCTCATTTCAGAACACCACCTGTATGTATGTGTATGTGTGTATATATATATATATATATATATAATACAATTAAAAAAAGAGTGAGTACACAAGAGCAATTCACAAACACAGGACCCTACAAATAATAATGACAACTACCCAGGAGGCCCATTGTTATAGCCTACTTTACATCTAGAAGGCCAGATATCCTTTGCACTGTATAATGCCAAGCTATCATACCATGTCCTTTTTCCAGTCTATTAGTCCTGACTTCCACCTTTTGAGATTTAGAAATTAAGTAGTCTTTAAAAGCCATGTCATTATAATAGTGTATAACATGTAGACCTATAGACCTAAGAAACCCTATATATATTTCATTTGTCATTGGGGGGGGGTGTCTGTGCACGGCCCTGCTCACAGTGGGGTCCTTAGTAATAGAATCCCTACCATCTGGAGCTGGTGAGTCTGATCCAGGGGGGTTCTGTAGAACAGAGGCCCAGGCCGTATTGAATATGAATAGCCTCTAACCTCCAGAACCACTCCAGAACCCCACTGTGTTCTGCTCCGGTCCCTGAGGGTTACCTGGGCAGTGGGCCAGAGCCATTGTTTGATGTTAAGATTTACGTAGGAAGAACCTTGAAATTGTCAGAATCATTTTTTCATTTAATTATAAGTGACTTAATTAAACTTGGGGTATAGACATAAATTACATTAGTGCCATTTTATAATGCATTTCATAAGCTGCCAATGTAAATAATTTAAACCAGATTGTCATAAATCAAATAAGTGCTCTACAAAAAAACAAACAAAAACAAAAACTCAAATCAGTTGCAATTGCAAAAATGCAATCCATTCAAGAACAAAATAATTCTGTGGGGCTGGATCTTTTCAATTAATCGGTTGATCCTGTTGATGATTAATTTGGATTCCAGTTTAAGAAAAAAGTTTTTTTTTCACTACAGCATATAGAGCCTTTTGTGGAATGGAAAGGTTCTATGGATGTTAATGATTCTTCATGGAAACATAGATGTCATTAAGGAACTATTTGTTTTTAATTCTTTCCCCTCTAGCATTTTTTTTTTATTTTTTTAAAAGCATTAGCATTTTTTGATCATTTTCACAAAATTTTCATGGCCCCCAGAATATTTTGTTGTGTGAATATCTGAACATGCAATATGTCAAAAGAAAGTCCAGAGCTTCTGCTTTTATGCAAACAACCAAACAAGTGTTATTCTATCTTCATGCATTTTTTTAAAGGGGTCATATGATGCGATTTCAAGTTTTCCTTTCTCTTTGGAGTGTTACAAGCTGTTCGTGTATAGATAAGATCCCTGAAGTTGCAAAGACCAAAGTCTCAAAACCAAAGAGATATTCTTTATCAAAGTTAATTAACCGTGGCTTGTGTACTGCAAACACATACCAGCTTCATCACTGTCTGTCACGCGACTCTGTTCCCCTTTCGGGCTCTGTCTTTACATTTATTTTGAAAGATGAAGCTCGCGATTATGGTAAGGGGCGTTACATTTCTGACGAGTGCTTGCGGTGTTCGGCCAATCACAATGCACTGGATCAGCTGGCCAATCAGAGCAGACTGCGCTTGTCGGAAGGAGGGACTTTGTAGAAAATGAAGCGTTTGAGAGAGGCGGGGCATAGAGGACCTACAATAATGTACAGTATTTGAAAAATAATGTGTTTTTTTGAACATTAAAGCATGTCAACATATTCTGTTACACCAAATACACAAAATAATGATCTTTAAAAAAGCATCATATGACCCCTTTAATCAACACTTGAATGTGGGTAGGTTTCATTTGGGGACACTTCATTTCCAGCGATACCGTTGACTTGATTGCAAAGATACTATTTAAACTGAGCTGGATGTTGACATCACTGAATTCAATGATGAACTGTCTTTAACTGAAAAATTAGTGTTTACTATTGTCATTTTGCATTATTGACACACTATTTTCCTAATTAATGCTGTTCAGTTGCTTTGACACAATCTGTATTGTTAAAAGCGCTATATAAATAAAGGTGACTTGACTTGACTTGACTTTCATTAAAAAAAGCAACATTTTGAACAAAAATCTGAGACTACGGCTGGATCAGATTCAGAACGATGATCAAAACGTAGATGGAGTAGATTGCTTCCATCAACACCCCTAAAGTTTCACAGTCCTATAAACCACTTCCTGGGTTGACTTTTCATTTGGAAACTTTGCTGTTTAATGCTTGACAATCACGCTATTTTACATATGCATCTGCTTACATATGCAGACGCTTGTTTCTTTTTCTTCGCCGTGTTTTGATCCAGGAATTCAATAGTCTTTCAGAAGATGTGTAATAGCGCCTCCTACCATATAACAGTGAAAACACTGAAAGCCGGAAAATTCCTTCAATGCGAAAGCGTTGTCTCATAAATGACATAAAATTCCATCACTGGTGGAGAAGTGTTGTCTCATAAATGACGGGAAATTCTGTCACTGGTAGGGAAGCGTTGTCTAATAAATGACAGAAAATTCTTTCAATGGCGGGGAAGCGTTGTCTCATAAATGAAGTAAAATTCCATCACTGGTGGGGAAGTGTTGTCTCATAAATGAAGTAAAATTCCGTCACTGGCGAGGAAGTATTAGTTTTAGATTAGTAATTGGTAGATAGTTAGATTAGTTAGTTAATAGATTAGCTTTGTTGACTTGTAAATTGACAGTTATGATAGTTGCTACACCTTGTGTATATTAAATTATAGTTTTATTCAGCAATGATGCACTGAACTGATCCAAAGTGACAGTTACAGTGTTACAAAAGATTTCTCTTTCAACATGTTGTTCTTTTGAACTTTCTATTCATCAAAAAATCCTGAAGAAAATGTATCACAGTTTCCACGAAAATATTAAGCAGCACAACAGTTTTCAACATTGATAATGATAAGAAATGTTTCTTGAGCACCAAATCAGCATATTAGAATGATATCTGAAGGATCATG